GGATCGATGCTCCAGCGCTCGACTCCCTCTTCAGCGCCGCTTCTCAAGGTACCATCACCCTCCATTCCATTACACTTACTCTAATTCAACGCAGGCGGGATCCAACATATCATCCTCGGTCCGTCTTGTTTCACCCCACTCACACCCACACTAACTAACGCCCCTCACCCCATGTAGCAATGCCCCACAGAGGCCGCCTCAATCTCCTCACAGACCTCCTCAAATTCTCCCCCACAGCCATGTTCCACAAAATTAAAGGCGGCTCTGAGATCCCTGAATACCTAGACGCGGAGGGCGACGTGCTTAGCCACCTTGGTGAGTTTCTTTTCTTCTCATAGCTCGCTATATACGTTACTCACGCCCGATATCAACACACGTAGTTGCATCACCAACGCTCGACTATGGTGCCCAACATCCATTGAAAGTGTCACTACTACCTAACCCTTCTCATCTTGGTACGCCCTCTTTCTTGCTAGTCTTAGCATATGCGGCTGGGTACCTAACAACTGGATAATCACAGAGGCAGCCAACCCCGTTGCACTAGGCAAAACCCGCGCCAAGCAATTCGCACTACTTAAGACGTCCCTGGCGGAGTGTAAGTTGGGAGATAAGGTGATGTGCGTGCAGCTGCATGGTGATGCGAGTTTTACGGGGCAGGGTGTGGTTATGGAGAGTCTTGGGTTGAGTGCGTTTTTGGTTTGCGTTTCAAGCCGCATATATGCTGACTGACGACTGGGGGGATAGGTAATTTACCGCATTTCACGAGTGGAGGGAGCGTTCATCTCGTTGTTGAGTGAGTTTCTGTTCTCGACCTCTCGTCCTGGGGTCGTTTCTGATATGTTGTTTCTTCTAGCAACAAGTATTTCATCCACCTCGCTGGCAAATTAAAGAACTAACATCTTGAATGTAGTATTGGATACACGACACCCGCATCAGGTGCCCGTTCCTCGATGTACTGCTCGGATATAGGGAAGATGATCAATGCGCCCGTGCTTCATGTTAATGGGGATCATCCGGAAGGTGTGTACTTCCTTTTTCGTCCTTGAGAAAGAGGCTGATGGGTGATACAGATGTGGTTCGTGCTATGGATATCGCGTTTCGGTACAGGAACTATTTCCGCAAGGTTCGTTTGCTTCCTTCATACGGGAAGGGTAATACATATCAAAGCTAACGATGGCAGGACATCATTGTGGATCTTTTGGTTTATCGAAGATGGTATGTTCATCTCTTCCCTCGTCTTCTCTTACACTGGCTAACGCATCTTTTGAAGGGGGTCAGCTTCCAACACCTCTCCCACACTTCAGTTTCGAAAACTGACATTGCATTACAGACACAACGAACTCGACTTGCCCGGAATCACCAGCCCACTGATGTACGAAAAGATAGCAGCCCGGCAGTCCGTTCCCCAAATATACGAAGCGAAGCTCATTGTGCGTCTTCTCCCCCCCATTCCCCTCCTTACTCTCCTAACACCTCTCAACTCAAAACAGAAAGAGAAAGTGATGTCCGAATACGACATCGGCGCCGTCCGAACCACATACAAAGCCCACCTCGAATCGGAGCTTGCAAAAGTATCATCTTATGAGCCTACAGCGTCGATGTTGGAGGGCCAGTGGGGTGGGATGGTTTGGCCTGCTACTTCCGAGGCGGTGTGGGATCCCGAGACGGGGGTTGAGGGTGATGTGTTGATTAGGGTTGGGAGGGGGAGTGTTGCTATTCCGGATGGGTTTGTGAGTCTTTTTCTGTTCTGTAACGCGAAGAAGAAGGATGCGGACTGATGAGGTGTGATAAACAGGAGATCCATCCGAAGCTGCAAAGGCATGTTAAGAATCGGTTGTTGAGTGTTGAGACGGGTAAAGGGATCGATTGGGCTACTGCTGAGGTTTGTTTTCTTCTCCTTCGTCTCTCTTCAGTTGTTAAACGGCTTTGTGCGCATAGGCAATGGCATTCGGCTCCCTTATGCTCGAACGGTACGATGTCCGTATATCGGGACAAGACGTTGGCAGGGGAACGTTCAGCCACCGACACGCCATGTTGGTCAACCAAAAGACGGAGGGGGTGATTGTGCCGTTGAATGATGATGAGGTGGTTGGTGCGCAGGGAAGATTGGAGTTGGCGAACAGTTCGTTGAGCGAGATGGCTGTTCTTGGGGTGCGTTTCTTCGGTTTGTTAATGGGGTGTTGCTGACTGAGGTGTTTGCTTACTTTAGTTTGAGTATGGTGCGAGCTGGGAACGACCGAACCTTTTGCCGATTTGGGAGGCGCAGGTGAGTTTGTTGCTTCGTTGTATGGTTGTATGCGCGGTTTGACGATGTGTTGGTGTAGTTTGGCGATTTCTTCAATGGTGCGCAGGTTATCATTGACACGTACATCTCTTCTTCGGAAAGTACGTAGTCTGCTGTTTCTGATCATTGTCTTCCGATTTGACGTTCTTCGCAGCCAAGTGGCTCAAACAAAGTGGGATCGTTATGATGCTCCCGCATGGGCTTGATGGTGCTGGACCCGAGCATTCTTCGTCGAGGATCGAACGGATGCTTCAGGTTTCGTGCCTTCCTCCTCCCCTTATCCCCGCCGCTCACTTGTGAACAGTTGACGAATGACCGATACGATGGCTCCGAGCCGGCCAACATCAACATGCACGTCGTCTTCCCAACGACACCAGCACAGTACTTCCACCTCTTGCGCAGGCAAATGAAGCGCAACTTCCGGAAACCTCTCATCCTTGCGGGGCCGAAAGGGCTTTTACGTTTGTCGGTATGTTCGGTTCTCCCTTTTTACCTGCGAGGTTTTGCTGATGACTTGGTTGTACAGGCCGCTTCGTCTTCTCTGGCGGATATGGAGCCCGGGACTCGGTTCCAGCCTGTCCTCGATGACCCAGTGGCAGCTCAGGACAAGGAAAAAGTCAAGCGTGTGGTCATGCTTTCCGGCAAGGTATACTACGAGCTCATCAAAGCCCGCCATGATCGGTCGCTCGACCAAGGCGTGGCGTTCATCCGGATTGAGGAGCTCGCTCCGTTCCCGTTTGATATGCTTGAGTCTGTGCTGAAGGGGTACGAGAATGCGAAGGAGTGGGTGTGGGTTCAGGAGGAGCCTAGGAATCAGGGGGCGTGGGGGCATGTGGTGTTTAGGATTGAGAGTGTGTTGCAAGGGATGGGCGTGGGGAGAGGGGAGGCGAGGTTGAGGTATGTGGGGAGGAGGGAGAGTGCGGTTCCTGCGCCGGGCGTTGGGGCGATTTATCAGAGGCAGCAGGGAGAGGTGATTAGGGGTGCGCTTGAGGGGATGTACTAGATACTTGGGCGTTGGTTGGCGTTGGAGGTTTTGTGTAGATACTTGGAATTGGACATTACATTCTCTCTCGGTTACTTTCGAGCGCTCGCGTTTGACTTGGCAAACTCCAATTATGGTTAATTATGAAAAAATCTTGGACGTACCTTTTGAAAAAGATACATCAAAACGGTGTGAACGCGCGGGAACTCTTCTTTCTCCTCTGCCCCATGGCACGAAGAACGCGTTTGCTGGCCTGTGGAGCTCTCTTGTCCACTCTTTTTCTTACACTTCTCCTCTTACGTGACGCGACAAGCTCTTTCGATCAGAGCCACCATCCCTACGACGACTTTGACACATCACCAACCCACTCCGTCCAAGCACCTCTCCCAGTCCCCGCGCCCACACCCGAATGGTGCCAATACAACGACTGTTTAAAAGGCCATTGGGCAGCACGCACTCCCCCATTCCGAAACCTCGCAGACTTTCAAGAAGCGTACAAGAACACGCAAGAACCTATATGGTCCCGTGCGCCTATCCCTTCGCCTTCGATATCTGGGGTGGAAGTGACCGATGAGGAGAGGAAGGTGTTGGAGGAACAGAGGTTGGTTGATTTGATGAATTATGTTTGGGTTCCAAGTGGGAAGATGAAGGAGTGGGATCCGGAGGAGTTTGTTGTTCAGATGTTGAGGACTCCGGGTGGGTTGATACTTATTGGCGGTGAGTGCGCTTTGTTGTTGTATTTACGGACGACGCTAATACTCACGTAGACTCGATATCCCAGCAGCATTCGCATGCCCTGGGCTATTCTCTTCGTGCGGCTGATATCCGATTCGACCATAACCCGCCTCATCTGCCCTTGTACGCACACCAAGGCATCCATATGCATGCCTTGCGACAAAATGACCCTACCACCCTCCGCCTCCTCGCGCGCGCTGGTGTTCCCGAGTCGAGGTTGTTACGGCCCATTATTACGATGGTGGAGGATCATATGTTGATACATGAACAGGATATTAGGAAGATTACGGAAGGGTTGGGCGCGTCAAAGGAGTATTATTGGTATCATGATTATAAGAGGGTCGAGGGGTGGGAAGGGTTTGTTGAGGATGCTGCTAGGCCACGAGAGGGCGAGGAGGGGACGGTTACGGAGGATACCGTGTTGGTTATGAATGGTGGTGCGCATGTAGGTTTTGTCTTTCTTTCTTTTGCAGGTATTGATGTAATACAGTGGTCAAGACACGAGCTCTCAATGCTTCCAGCCGGAAAATCCGACGAAGAAGAACAATCTCGCGTAGTAGCTACATACAAACAAATGGTTCGTTTGTTCGCTCCCCCTCATGCCCCCCTTACTTACCCTCCTCCCAGATGAACCTCGTCATATCCCGGCTCTCCCCAATCCCCCAACTCTCCGTAATCTAC